GCTGGTGCGGCATGCGCACGCGGTACGGGCTGAGACGGCGGCCCTCGCGGCCGCCGGGCGTGAGGCCGCCGTGGTCGTCGATTTCGGGGTCGTCCTCGGCGGCGGTGGCGGCTGACGAGGAAGGCGGCTCGGGCAGACGAAAGGCTCTGTCGAGGCCGATTTCGCCAACGAGGGCGAGCGGGTGCGCCGCCAGACGCTGCCGGGTGGCGGCGAGAAAGGCGGACAGCGGTGCCGGGTCGGGCAGGCTGTCGAGGAAGGCGTCGTCGTCGGGTGACGGCTGCAGCACGGCGCGGTAATGCGCCCTCTTGGCGGCGGCGGAGGATGGCTGGCGGTCCGGCGCGTAGGTCGGCGCTGCGGCCGCGTCGTCGTAGAGCTGGTGCGAGAACCACGGGTGCCAGCCAAACGCCGGGACGACCTTGCACGCGCCGTCGGCGAGGTTGGTGGTGGTGGTGCTTGCGAGGCCGTGGGCGGCGGCTACCTCGGCGACCAGATGCTGGTCCTGGGAGCGCGTGGCCATGATGGTCAGCGTGGAGGTGCGCATGCGGGCGAGGTCGTCGATCGAGGCCATGGTGTCGGTGGGATGGCAGTGTGCGTCAAAGGCACCGAGATGCCAGGGAAAGCTGTCCGAGGGCTGGGACGAGCCGTGGCTGCCGTCGCGGACATCCTGGTGGTGCTGGCACATTGCTTTGGTGCAGTTGACGCGGAGGGAATGATGTCGTGACTCATGAATGTGGTGGGTTTGTGGTGTTTATATCGGTTCATGGTGATCAACTGAGAAGCTTCCAGAGACTTGTAATAAGGCTGACTCTGCTCTGAGCGGCTTGCCCCGCGAATTTAGTGGGCGGTCCGTTGCGACAACGGTGTACCCTGTAGATTTAGTAGTACGTAGGTATGAACTACATGGTCACTATCAGTTGGTATAATTTGCTAAGAAGAAATTGATGGATAATAATTTTAAATCAATATCTCTTCAAAATAATATTGAGCTATATTTTTGAATTTTATTGTCCAAAGCATGTTCAGAAAACCCTCCACCTTGGGAAGTGGTGATGCGTGCCAACGGCAAGCTTGCCGTTTTTGGCGACCCGAAAGCACGATTGAATCTGCAGAGGGCTCCGTAGATGGCACAATGAACAGCACAACTAATGACAGCACAACTCACACCTCATATCATTCGAAATATCCCGATATGCCCGGTGCATGTCACTGACAGGCCACGGATCCGCCAGCCTGCATCCCCTGACGTGCAGCGATGGAACCCCGCTAAAACGCAGGATGAGGCTGGATCTTCCAGGTGTCGCAGCCACCCAAACTCGGTCTGTTTAGCGTGCAACAGAACCCAGGGCCCCTGCAAGTCTTGACATGTGATTATCTGTTTCTCTGCCGTTTGCCTCGCATTCTCCAGAGGACTGAGGAAAAGTCTGCCAACTATACAAGTCTGCAGCATACATCCGTCGATTTGCCTTGTGCCCCCATCTTATACCATCCAATCTTTTGCCGATCCTTCCCCTCCCTCATCAACACCAGCAGAAGCAGCCCGTGCACGCCATTCAGCCATTCACCTTCACACCACCAACCACAAACTAGACCAGCACAGATACAGCAAAGCCTCCCTCCTCCTCCCCTCCTCCCTCCTGCCAATCGACTCAGGCGGGGAATCTATCAAACGCTCCCGCTGATAACGAGCAGTCCGAGGCAGTAGAAAAAGCAAACCGCCGCCGCGGCTGCATCTGCATCTGCCCTTCCTGCCACTTTTTTTCTCTCTCCCCTCTCTTCATTCCTCCTCACACTTCTTACCTGTCTGTCTCACTTGCGCTCTATGGCGCCAGCCAGCATTCATCCGAGTTTGCCTCATCCCTTCTCCTGCTTGGCTCTTAATACTACCCATTTTCATCCGACGGGCGCCGCCGCCTTTAGCCGCAGGTAGATAGACTGCACTTCCCACCCCCAGAGCTTCTCAGGTCTATCTACCCTTGCTTGTGCATCTCCCATTGTCTCAGAGTCGTGTGCCGCAGCCCTGTGTCGGGCAAGCAGCTCCCTCGCCTGAGACAAAGAGCTCGCTTACACCAACCATCGCCAACATCTTGACCACGCCACCACGCCCGCCACCACCCACCGTCACTTGCCTCGCTACTAGTTATCCCCATTGTCTTGCCCTCCAGCCTCTGCTCCCCCATCATGGCGCTCCTCAACCCGCTCTACGCCCTCTTCGCCCCCGTTCTCTTCATCGTTGCCGTCCCCATGGCCCTCTTCGCCGGCGTCACCACCACCCTCGCCTTCTCCGTCCTCATCTGCCGCGGCCTCCTCGTCTACCTCGACCTAGCCCTGACGTACGTCCACCGCGTCCTCAACGGTCTCCAGGTGCCCTCACGTCTGCACCAGGCCGCCGCCAGCAGCGACCCGCCCTCGCCCACGCCCTCGTACCTGGCACTGCGCCAGCACCGCCGCCGCCGACGGCCCAGCTCCGTGAGCATCCTCTCTGGCGGCACTGCTACCCCCGTCAATGACGTGGGACTCGGCCTGACTCCCAGCATTGGCGCCGAGCGCGACTACGAGGGCCTCGGCGGGTGGCGCGTCGGCGACGACGACATCTGGACCACCATAAACTCCAGGCTCGAGTTGCCGGACCACCGCCAGCACGCCCGCCACCACCACCGCTCGCCGTCCGCTGGTGGCGCCTCCACGCCCGGCGAGGGCGGCTTCCTCATGATGAAACGCCGTACCCGCAGCCCGGAGACCAAGATCAACAAGGCGCCCGTGTCGGCGGCGCCCGTGTCCCCCAACAGCTCCCGCATCAGAACCTCCTCCACCTCTCGCGTGGGCTTTGGCCCGTCATTGACGCAGGAGGGCTATTTCTCGCTCGTCATGTCGCCCAAGATGGCTTCCAGGATGGCAGCCAAGAAACCGGCGACGCAGCATTATTAACGAAACAATGGATCCTTATGACGTTATGACAATACCAGGCTTGGCCTCTAAAAACAAGACCGAAACGACCACCACCATGTCAAGTTTTTATGACTCTATTCTTATCTGTACATTACTAGTAGCTAGTCGGGGAGCAGGGAGCAGGGAACAGGGAACAGGGAAAAGGTTGAGCGTTGTCCTTGGTATTCTTACCCAACTGTACACAACATTCGAGAAAACGTTTGTGCATTTCCATCAACGCAAAACCTTGTAAAGACAGCATTCACGAGAAAACGTTTGTGCATTTCCATCAACGCAAAACCTTGTAAAGACAGCATTCACGAGAAAACGTTGGTCCATTTCCATCAACGCAAAACCTTGTAAATATTGATCTTCATAATTCATCGGGGGTATTCCAGAACCTTGACAAAACAGTATCCAACGCTTCAAACCCAAAAGAAATACAAAATGCAACGGCACCACCCGCATCTCTTCTCCGCTCCGCCATTATCACAGCGTCTTCCAAAAGTAATTCGCGTAAAAGTAGCGCGAGAATTTCTTTTCCATATTCACCACATGGACGTCCCCCTTTCTATCATTACGAATCACGGCGCGTACCCACTCGCCGTCCTTGTCGTCGCGCTCAATGTCGATGCCCAGGCTGCGGTACACCTTGAGGCGCAGCAGGACCTCGTCGTCGACAAAGTCGCGCCTCTTGGCGCTCACGTCGCCCTCGACGCCCTGCAGCTCGAGCTCCTGCAGCCGCGCCGCGAGGTCGGCGGCCTGCAGCGCGACGCGCTCCGCCTCGGCCTCGGCGTCGCTGGCCGCCTTGGCCGTGCGGAACTTGCGGCTGTCGAGCGTCGCGATGGCGCCCGCGTGGTCCGTCGCCGCCCGCGCCGCCACCAGCTCGGCGTGCCGCTGCGACAGCGCGCCCAGCTGCCGCGAGAGCTTCTGCAGCGACGACGCGGCTTCGTGCAGCCGCAGCTCGCGCGCCT